TCCTGCGTGCCCATCCGGGAAAGCCTCATCTTTGACTGGAGGCACGACATCTTGGAAGTGGAAACAAGCATTCAAGAGGCCAGGGTGCAGCTCACCTGCCCAGGTGAGTTTCCTGCTTCGCAGTGGGGGTGTTTAATGCTACTAGCTGCCCAGAGTTACCTGTTTGAAGCCCGTTGAGTTGGTGCACTGCTTTTGTCCACTGGCGGAGTTATGAGAGCTTCGTGGTTGTGGGAGCTTCATCCCTGGAAGCTTTCAAGAAGAGGCTGGACTGCCATCGGTCAGAAATTGGCGTAGGGTCTCCTGCATGGGCTGGAGTGACCTACAAGGCCCCTTCCAACTCTATTTGGATTGATTGATTGATTGATTCAACCTGAAAATAAGGAGAAATTTTCTGACAGTGAGAGCAAGCAACCGAAGGCACAGAAGTTGCCTTCGGAAGTTTGCGGGAGCTTCATCCCTGGAGGCTTTCAAGAAGAGACTGGACTGCCATCGGTCAGAAATGGTGCCGGGTCTTTTGGCAGTCCTCTTGGAGTTCAATTTGTGAAATTTCTTTTTCTGCCTCTTCCTCTTTCCCTCTAAAATATTCTGTGTAAAGCTTTCTCAATTGAGTCAATTCTGTATCTCTGTTCTTGCCATGTGAACATTAAACCTTCCAGAACCAGCCATCTATAACTCGGTTTAGACAGTTTAGATCTGATTGGACCGTCCAGGAGCAAAGATATCGGCAGCGATCTCAGGTCTCCGAGATCGCGTGCCGTATCGTCGCGACGCCAGCTCCACCCCGTGGGTCCATGGAGACTAGAGAAGGACATTCCTCGAAGAGGAAACGCTTTGGTTGATCTCTCAGCTCTTGGCGAATCCAGCTCCCTTTCTAACCCCTGCTCAGTCCAGTTCTTGTCAACAAATTTGCGTCTCTCTCCTTTCCTCCCCCCCGTGGATTACAAACCACGTAGGGCAATCTGGCCCCCACAGATTGTCACAAGAGGTCCCTGACGGCTGGAAGAAATGTTATGATTGAAATCTTGAGTTACGTCCTGGGGTGGCGGGGTCTGTGGCCATGGACGGAGCCACAAAATGTATTATAAAGGGGGCCCGTGGGGAAGAAAACGACTGGGAGCCACTGATGTGGGCCAAGCCAAGACCATGAGTATCACTTCCCTGCAGTTAGAGAAAGGATAGTGCGTGTCAAAATAGCCATAGCCCCGAAGGAGCCAAGATGCACAGAGTTATTAAATTTCCCTGGGTAAGGATGTTACATATGCTTGATTTTTTCCGCTCCGTGAAAAGCTCTGCTTTTTCCTTTCCTCTGATCCGTTGGAAGCGGAATTCCTCCAGAGTCTGCCTCCAAGAGTTTTCCTTGGTTACCCTCGAGCGCTTTTGCCCGGGGTCTCCCTGTTTCCCTCACTAGCATGAAAACAGAATGCTTGTAAAACATTCTGCAACAGAATAACAGAGTTGGAAGGGACCCTGTAGGTCATCTAGTCCGACCCCCCCCGCCCACACAGGAAACCCTACAACATTTCTGACCGATGGCAGTCCATTCTCTTCTTGAAAGCTTCCAGGGATGAAGCTCCCACAACTTCCAAAGGCAACTTCTGTTCCACGGGTTGATGGTTCTCACTGTCAGACAATTCCTCCTTCATTCCAGGTTGAATCTCTCCTTGATCAGTTTCCATCCGTTACTCTTTGTCTGGCCTTTGGGTAGTTTAGAAAGTAGCTTGACCCCTTCCTCCTCTCTGGGGCAGCCCCACAAATATTGGAAGATGCTGTCATGTCTGCCCTGGTCCTTCACTAGACTAGCCATGCCCAGTTCCTCAACCTCTTTTTTTATAATGCAGTGACCAAAACTGGGTGCAGTACCCTAGGTGTGGCCTTACTAAGGCTTTACAGTGGGGTATTAGTACCTCCCTTGATCTCGATTGTATCCCTCTGTTAATACAACTTAGGATTGCATTGGCTTTTTTGGCTGCTGCTGCACATTTCTGGCTCCTATTTAGCTGGTGGTCCACTATGACTCCAAGATCCCTCTCACAGTTACTTTCCCAGCAGCACAGCCAATAGGATGGAGTGGGTGCGGCCCACCAAGAGAAGTAAACTGATTACAAATTAACAGAGGGCACTTGGAGGTCATCTAGTCCAACCTTCTGGCCAAGCAGGAGACCTGACGCTGTTTCTAATGGCAGCCCAATCTCGTCTCGTCTTTCCAGTGAGGAAGCCTCCACAATTTAGCAGATCATCAAGTGCGTTATTGGTGCCTTTGATGGGTTTTTGGTTAATCTTACCGGGGGTTTCTCGTGCCTCCACAGGCCCCGTGGAAGAATGTCGTGTTTTCCAGGTCTCCCATGGAAGTCAACACGGTCCCTGCTCTGCAATGTTACCTTTTGTCTGTCGCTACAGAAAAGGTACGTCAGTTTGGAGGGGACCTCCGCCTTCCCAAAACCGGCATATATAGGGTTGGGTTGTTTGGTTATAAGCTTGAGAAGACCTGGATTCAAACCACCATAAGTAGCCAGCCCTCCGCTTACAACAGTCATGGAGTCTAAGCCATCGCGGTCGTAAGTAATGACCTTGTAAAGATGGGACCAATCTGAAATTTATGACCTGGTTTACGTTGGTCAATAAGCCATGGTTGTTCTAAGTGAACCAGTGCCATAAGTTGAAGACTACCGAAACTGAGACCCAGGATGAGTTTGGGCCAGTTGTCCCTTCCTAGAAAGCTAACATATATAAAATGAAGACCCTAGAAGGAAACAAACGAGAAATCAAAGCAAGGATGAAAATAGCTGGGCATCAAGGAA